TTCTTTCAGTTCCTTTGTTCTTTCAAATATGACTTCTGAGCATTTACTCTTGTGCAGTGCTACCAGTGCTAATTTCATATCCCCACCACCACCAATTACATCCTTTCACCAAAATACCATTTTCCATACTTATCCTTTGTAATCCATTTTGATATGGAATATCCATCCACCTCCTTCTTGACTGTGCAAAGATGAACTTCATAACCACATTTCTTAAGAAGAGACACAATGATACGATTGTGGCCTTCCAAACCTTCCAAACCTTTCACTGCCCTCCTTGTTGTGATGGCAACAATCAACAGCCTATGCCAGCTTGCCCATGCCCCATGCTCAAGCACCCGTTGGACTTGAGGTAGTGCCAAGGAAATCTTTCCAACAGTGTTTTCTACATTCATAGTATTATACCCCTCAATATCAAACACTAAAAAGATATGGCTTCCTTTAGTATACGTTATCCTGACGTCAACCCCTGTGAGAAACACGGCACAGACCCACGTTGGGTAGGGAGTGGATATGTTTATGCTCCTTGAGCGACCAGGATGGCTAACTTCGATACTTCCATTGCTCTTATGCACTGGGAGCTGGATGACCATGGTTCCTGAAACCCTACCATCTGCTTTGTTTCTGCCTCTCTGTAGCTTGAAATCGTGCTCAATCAAGAGCATCCCCTTAAACCTCACTTTGAGCACCATATCATGGAGACAACCAGCATCCATCACCAAGAGCGCAACCGCTGCTATGTCGTGAGCCGTCTTTGAAATAAAGTCAGACTTGCCCGGGTATGAAATTTTGGAGGAATCCACTTGCAGCACACCTCTTTCTGTCTGAAAAGACAATTTTATATCGTCTATGTCCTTGTATGTTAAAGGAAGTTTCATCTCTCCAGGAGTCCCCTCTATTGTCAAAGAATCAGGCAACATGGGGTTCCAGCAGTCATCAATTGGACCTCCAGCAGCTGTCCACTTCCCATCGTACCAGAGGACCCTCTCTATTGCCATCTTCCCACCACCCTAATAACAG